CACAAGCGCGGAGGAGCGGTGCTGAGAAAGGACAATTTAAACCACTTGTCCACGCTGGCGGGGTCTGAATTAGCTCCGACTGCTCCAGAAGAAACACGTAGGAGTTTTCACAGACACAGCCACGAAAGCTGTCTGCCCCCCTACACAGCGCCGGTCGCAACGGGGCGATGCGGGTTTTGTTTGCATCCGAGAGCGATGCAGGGCTGTAGCTGCCACAGCACACCACAACACGGAAACGCTGACAGCTTTCTCTACTCTAATAATTATGGACCAGGCGCTCTGGGCCCTGCACAGTCAGAACAGGGTGAATTCAGCCCAGCCTCTGCCTTTCCCCAGCCTTGGGATCAAGTCTTGGCCCTGTGGGCAGCCAGTCTCTGCCCTCGCTGCCTGCTGAGAGCAGGTAGATCTCCGAAGCATGAAGCTACACAGCTGCCTGCACCAGGAACGCGGCCCGGGCAGTGCTTGGGGAATGCAAAGCAGTGGAGTTGCTGGGTATTAGCACCAACTTCATCGCCTTTCTTTCCCCCCAGTGCTCCCTCCCACCAGCACCGGAGCTCATTCGAGACAGCAACAAGGAGCTGCGTGTCGATGAGCAACCCAGCCAGAACCCCGAGATTTGGGGTTAGGCGTGTTGTATGTTCCCATGGGTGAAGGCATGATTTCGTACCTGTCCCAAGTGAGGGAGTCTCACCATAGGCAGGAAGATTGTTGAAATACTGAGGAAAAACCCACACCGTGGACATGGTGAACATTGTCCTTGGTATCCCACCTTGCCCCCAGGGATTTGCTGGAAATAAGGGGAAGCAAAAAACCCCCTAAGGGGATAGGGCCATATGCCAGGGGCAAGAAACAGCCCCCAGATGACTCCTCACGGGAGCCGGGTGCCAAGCCCAGCTCTCCTGCCCACCACCAGCCTGCCAACCTCCGTACTTACGGCTTCAGAGCCAGCCGCATCCTCCGCCAAAGCGATGTCACACTTCCCGGTGCTTCTCAAACCTATTTTATGATGGTTGATACGCACAGCCCCAGAGCTGACGCTCATGAAAAACATTACCGAGCATTTACCTCCTCCCAGCTCCAGGGTTAGAAACTCTCTGGTTTTGCTGCGCTATTGCCGCCGGCTGCCGAAGAGGCACGGGGCCTTGGGGAAGCTGCAGCATTCCTGGGAAGCGCAGGCAGCACAAGCGCCTGCCAGGCCGGCGGCAGCGGGAGTGACCGACACAAACACCGACCTGCAATAAAGCTCCCCCAGGTCTGAGTCTGGCCAAACGACAGACAAGGCACTTCTGTTAGTGACCGTGGTAGTGCAAAAAAAAAAAAAAAAAAAAAAAAAATTTAAAAAAAGACTGCTGCTATTGTACCCAGATTTGTATCAGTGGACTTCGGCTGATGCCAAGCATTTACCACCCTCACTTCCTGCTTGCCACCCTCACTTTCCTGGAGGAAAACATGCATTTTAAATGTTTATTTAGAGCTGTAAGAATTTCACCAAATTGTATTTAAATACAAATAAATATCAAAGTATATTTCTGATGGGAACACAACCACATACCCGATTTGAATCTAGGTATTTCCTAAATTCCTAATAGAAATATAGAATTGATTGCTGTTCTAAATAACGCAGATACAGATCCGGAGGACTATAAACATTAGACCACGCAAGAACAAAACACAGGCTGTTCACAGAGGAATGTAAATGGGTGTTATTGACATTCATGGCGGTACAAACTCCCAATGATACTACTTTTCTCTTTACTCAGGTACCCAAAAACTAGAAAGCAAATATTTAACAGCACGAGACCTACTTTTGAACAATTCAGGCTTTTAACAATCCGTCCGTCACACACATGCACAGCTCCGTTCCAGACGCTCGGTTCGGAAGCGGGAAGCGTGCTCTGCTCTGAGGTAGGCACACCGCTTCAGCAGTACAAACCTTACTTTACTACACCAGTGAGCAACATCTGCGTTCCGAAACGAGGGGCTGTTTAAAAATTGTTTTCCTCCTCTTGTTTGAGACCACTGTTAACCAGCGTGGGGGAGCAATTAAAGAGGGACTGACTAGGTAAAGATTCAGCATAGAAAGGACTAGGGAGAGGAGACATCGGCAAAATCAGACCAGTATCTCCTGGACCCGAGCGCACACGTTCTCCAACATCCCCCTTGCACACACAGTCACAGCACTGCGTGTATTAAGGAAAAAAACGCTGTCAGACAATGTTTTCTTCCTCAGATTTCTATTTTGCAGATAACATTTAGGGAGAAGAATGTGCTGCAGATGAAATGGTTTAAGTGAAATGCCATACATTAGACTTGTAAATTAAGCACCTGGTGCAGGTAATCCTCAGCACACAACAGAACCATTTCACCACTAACTCTTGTGCCACTTTACACCAAGAGACAACCGACCACCTTCAGCTGGTCTGGTTGGCAGGCAAACGCGGAGGTCATGTGCTCGACAGATGTCTCAGAGCTGCAGTGTTATTCTCACGCTGTCACATCTGGTTTATGAAGAGCTACCACTGACGGGGATTACTGAACGCAAACATTAGATATGCCACTGCGGCGCGCTGAAGCTTAGGGCACAGAGCAGACCTCAGTGGTGTGTAAATACACTAATTCCTACACAGGGGCACATACCTACAGCCTAAATGACACTAAAAATACCCGTGCTGTGTCATGACTTATCTTAAGGTTATCACATCATAAAGTCATACCTTAAAGTTTGCAAATCAAAATGCAAAATGAATTTGCTTTGGTGCATATAAAATATTGCATGCACAGTTACTAAAAGTGTTGCAAAATCTATTTAAAATGAATTTTATTGAGATGAAAAAGTTTTCCATGGTAACTACAGAATGTTAATCAAAACCAAGTGCTTCCCCTCCGTTAAAAACACGAATCGGAATACTTTTTGTTCAAAAATACTTTAAAAAGTAATCAGTTAAATGGAGTATTTTTGGATGTGCTTTACTCCATACACTGGTTACTGTTTCTAATCTTGCTAATGAATGCACACTAACGAGAGGTTGTCTGTGTGTTCATCAGAGGCTTTGAAGGGAACCTACTTTTCTGAACAGCGTTCAGCTGTGAAGCTGCACTGGCGGTAAGGAGCATTCAGCAGACCACCTAAGGCGTTACAAAACACCGTGCCATGTACAGTGGTGTTGTGCTCAGGGTGGCAGTATCCTTCTCACTCTACAAAGTACAAAAGCACTGGAGGACTCCAGGTATACAAAGCAGTGTTTCTTGCTACCATTATCCATTCATAAGCATCATCTTCTAGATTTCCAGGCAGCTCTGGAATAAGGAGTAGTCCTTTTCTTATCCGGTGGTTTGAAGTAAGAATAAACAGGCGCTGCAGGGTACTCCGCATCTGGATTTTCTGCCATCATTTTCAGCTTGGCTTCAATGGCCTTTATTTTTGCACTGACACTGGAAAGAGGAAAAACAGAAGAGAAATTGAGCTTGATCTTAGCATGGAATCAGACTACAGCAATCCAGAGATTTTGTTGACATGCAAATACTTAGTCACACGAGGAGGGGCTAGGCAGCCCCCATCGCGGCATTCACAAGCAGCATGAAGCTGGGAGGCAGGAATCTACTGCTTAAAGCCCACGCTATTTCATTTCAATCCTCAGCATGGATTTGCTCAGGAAAGGTCCTCCAAGATATATCACAGCACCACAAAATAACGGTCCCTGCACCTACTCAGCACTTTCTTGAGGACACTGAGCAAGAAGAGTACACAACAAGGCTTCCTACTTCATGTAAAATGATGTCATTTAAAGAGGTCTGAGCATGTGCAGCAGAGCACAGCTCAGACAAGGCTGCTGGAAACAGCAGAGAAATGAAAGCCAGACTTCCTCACAGCTACAAGACCGCTTGGGATGGGAAAACCCCAGACTCTTAATTAGGTCAGGAAGAAACATTATTTCAGCATTAGCAGGGTTTATCCCAAAGGGAGCAGCTATTCCAGGTTACACCCCCAAATTCCTAGGACATTGGTTATTCACTGTCCTCCATTGGGTAAGGACCAAGGAATGTTCCCTTCTCTGCTGTGGCTTCTTGCAGCATCCATCCTCTCTAAAATAACTCCTTTGTGCCACTGATGTAGTTAACAACCTGCGTGACCCAAGTCTCTCTGCTCATTACTTCCTAGCGTGTTAGTTCTGAATTCCAAGCTGATTTTTTTCTGTAGGTAAATTCGTTATCCCCAGTTCTGGTTCCTTATAGTGTTCCACTGACAGAACAGAGAGGAAAATCACATACCCTTTCAACCAAACTGTGAATTAGCAAAGCAGCACTACGTGCTTTAGGTAAAACAGAGGGGCTGGAGAATTTAACCACATCCCACAGAGAAGACCTACCCAGCCCCAACGCTTGCAAAAAAAAACCCCACCCCTATATATTTTTATGTGAAGTGCTACCTGTGATTTTGTTTTAATCTTTTGCCACTATAGTAGAAATTCTTGCTCATAAGTATTTTGCTTAATCAAATTAGTATAGTACAAAACCTCCCACTGAAATTTATATGAAGAAGTGCAAAGCACATTCTGGCCAAAGGAGCTGGAATGCTACACGTTCTCAATTCCTCTCCTCATCTCTTTTCCTTCCTACTGCCCTAGTAGCTTCACACGTTAGAAAATGAACTTCAGGTCTGAAGTGTCCCACATAAAATGAGTTACTTTGCAGCATGCTGCCCTTCTAAAAACAGCTTTTCTGCCATGTTATGTTTTTAGCACAAAGATAATGCCAACAACTCCAGATCTTATTGAAATTGAAGAAGTTAGTTCCCTGCCACTCCCATGGTTTTGGTCACCTCGCCCACCCCATCTCCTACCTTAGGTTAGACTGAGGCGGCTCCGTGCTGGAAGATGGCTCCAGACTGATTGGAAGGATCTTCTCATTTTTATTGTGATCATATCTCTGCAAACAAGAGACTAAGGATTGAAGTCAGCTGGGATTACGAACAAAGAAACATTTGCCCACAGATATGCTTTGAAGTTGGATTAACACCACCTCAGATTTTGTGAAGTTTTTGCTAGGAATTATTTTAGTGGCCAAACACTGAAACAAATCCCAACCATAATATTTGTTTAGTACCAACATGGAACACAGATTCTGATACCGAACACTTACGGGCATTGTACTATGGATCCTTAATCCTTATCCTGTCTTATCACTTCTTGTTCCCCTCTATATAAGGCATGAAGCAAAGATGGTAAATTTTTTAAGGTAACTACTGTATTGTATTACTACACTCTTTATACATTGTGCAGAGTCAGAAGGTAACCCAAGCACATGACTGCATAGAATCATTCAGTGCTGGGAGAAAAGGAAAAGGGAAAAAAAAAAAAAAGAAAAAAAAGACCAGTTAGAAACTACCTCCTTTCTGTAGAAAGCAGCTTGTGAGTCTGTCATCTCTGTGGGCAACAGGCCTCCTGAACTATTTGCAGTGTTCTGCTTCCTTATTTCGCTTGGCACAAAGTCAGGTTTGTTTTTCAGTGGAGCTACTCAAACCGACAGTGTCTGGTAAGCCTTGGCCGCTCATCTTAAAACTACTTAGCATGGTGCTGGTATTGTCTAAAATAAACACTTGTTACAATAAGCCAAATTTTTAAAATCTTTCCATTCACAGATTAGAAAATGCCATGCAAACTGAACTGATTATTTATGCATGTTCTTCACCATACCCCGACAGCCAAGCAGTGAGCTACCCCGCTGAACTCCCAGCTGAGCAGACGCTCACTCCTCTGGCTAAAACTCCTTTTATGGCCTGATCGTTCTTCAGGCATCCGGAAGCACGTGGCACTCTAGTAGCTACGGAGCTAAAGAAAATGGAGACTGGATTTGCACAAGCTTGGATGTGCTGACAAGAGCCTGGAGCCCTTGAAGCCAATAATCAAAACAACATGGTCTCCTTCAGCGAAGATACCTGTTTTGGGTTTTTTAGCATCCAAAACAAATGCGCTAGTATACTTGATAAGAGAAAGGGTAGAAAGCTGCTTGTAGGATAATCAACACATGCTAAAAGCAAACTACCCAAAGGAAAACAGCAAGAAGTAGCTCCCCACCACCTCCCCCAAAATCCATTTATCTGCAAAGAAAGTTATTCAAAATAAATTGCTTTATCAAATACCAGAGAGTAAATAACTGCAGGAGAAACAAGACAAGAATTTCAAAAAATTAAACCAAGGATGTTCCAGAAAGTACTGCCTAAGTTAATATTAAAAACTTGATGTTTTATACAACAGAGCAAGCAATAAAAGGATATTTAGCTTAGATGTGAAATATGTTGCTTGAAAGTCAGAACTAATTAGAGCTGCTGCCACATAAGTGCTTTCAGAAGTGGAACAAAGTAACAAAGTACTCAGTAATTGGGAATTTCCATGCATCTCCTATCCAAAAAGGGAGCAAAACCACAAAGGGAAGGCTTCAAATTTTCAGCCAATCATTCACTAAGTTTGGGAAAAGTTAAAATGTGGACATTTATGGAAGTAATCTGCTCACAGCGCCCTGATCAGAATCTCCCTTACAAAGAACATCAGGTTAAATGGCCTATTTTTACTCACAGCTAATCCAGCACAGTTTGGGTAGACAGGAGAAGTGGTACATTGTTAATATCGTTTCTGTGAGAGTTATTTCCTAGAACAGACTGAAATGACCTCGCCAGAATAAGACAGCCTTGATATGAATTGTTCCTTAATATTAAAGTTTTTTGATTTTGCAAATTAAAAGCAGTTCTTATTTACAACAACAAGCTTACCTTGACTTGTGCATGTGCCCACCGCACCACCAATTTCTTGGAAAGGGCCAGCTTCCCATTGAGACACTGGATCGCCTTTTCTGCTTCCTGCACAGGAAGACAGTTCAATAAACAAACCAAGTCCTTAGTCAAAACCGACTCAGATGTAAAGAGCCTCTCTTCTTTGTTAATCAGTCTTCTGTAAGTACAGCTAACTGACAGCAAAGAAAATTTATCCCATTGTATCCCAATCCAGGAATATCTTTGGAAGACTCCAACATCCGAGTAACCAGACTTTTATCAGCCTTATTGGTTTCACCTGTTTTGGGGGAGGAAATGGGGAAGTGATCAGGAGTTTTGAAAATACCAAAAATAGAGGACACTGGAACAGCATTCTAAGGGAGGTTTATGCTACAGGAGTTTCTCTAGAAAATACTGTGACTCGTTACAGTGATTACATGTCTCTCATTAACACCCACCTATGCTTATTCCAGATCTTGCTCATGTGCACTGGGGACATTATCCACTTGGTCCTGTTCTAGGCTCAGCAGTGGAATCTCAGTTTTGGGACACTCCCATCAAACTTGATTCACGTAAGTTGAAGATTTATGTTGCAATGCTGTTCCACCTTGCCATGAATAATTTTCTAGAGCTAATGCACTGTGTCAGGGCTCTTCTGACATCCTTACCAGCAATTGCACAGCAAAAATACAAGGTCATACAACCACAGCAATCTCCAAACACACTGTTCTTCCTAACTTTTGAACAATTTTAGCAGAATTATGACAAAATAACTACAACTCTGATGTTGCAGGTGAGCATGACTTGAAATTTTGATTTGCAACAAGAGCTAAAACCCCAAATGGACAGCCAGGGGCAGTTCACTCCAGGATGCTGCAGATGTTTCATGTTGTACATCTGGCAGCATCACACAAGTTGGTGTTTGCGCATTCATGAAGCCAAAAGAAAAACCTAGGAGGACTTCAGAGCAGTTCTGGATTTCAGGTGGTCTGGCAGGCTGATCCAAGGCTCTGCATGAATCACAGCATCTCCACGGTACCGCTTCCACGAGCTCACTACAAAAGTGGACCAAAGAACTGGCCCTTTCCGATTAGCATTAGAAAGCAGGATTCAGGAAAAGTCAGCACAGGAGAAAGGAAATCACTATTGCTACTTCCAGGAGCAGTCACAGAGTGGCTGTCAGAGTGGAGCTGTTAGAATCTGTGGGTTTGTGTAGACAAGTTATTTAATTTATCCCTTCCTGTTTTAGCTTTACATTAACATAAAAAAAGATGGGGAAAGAAGCCAGTCATTTAAATCAGATTTTTAGACAAAAGCAACATACCTGTTTGGTTTCAAAGTTCACAAAACAGTAACCCCTCGGCTGCCCCTCCAGAGCACCAGACTTGTGAAAGAGAAAGTCAAATTGCTTTACTTTGCCAAACTTCTGAAGGAGTTTGAGAAGGTGGTATCTGAATGGGAGAAAAGACATTTATGAAACCTTTCACCACTCTCAAAACGAGGAGAGAGAGAGAGAGAGAGAGAGAGAGGAACCCCCTGACACACACACACACGTATCACAGTCAGTCCATAAGCAGTTCAGTTGTGTCATACGGGTATTCCCAAATACCCAGAGGCGGGCACCCTGTACAGCAACGCTTCAGCATCCATAACTCTGAGCTGCATTATCAGTGACTGCTCTAAAACCCCAAGGCACAAAGCTTCCCTTCCAGTGGTGCCAGCTGAAGGGCATGCAGAAGATCTATTAATAGTTGGCTTTTGGACAATTATGCAGTGGTTTGTTAGGAGTCTAGGACGGCTTTGCCTCCTGCCTCTCTACATCACACCTACTTTCAAGCATAAACGTTGTGTTCCCCCATCATACAGAAATGCAGCCACTCTCCCACTTGCCTGGCAGAGCTGGGGAAGCAGGAAGACAGAAGAATCAGCAAAACAAACTGCAACCGGGAATTGACAGTAGACTAGGCAAAAAAAGTCACCAGATAGACCTCAGTATCATCCAGGCCAAATCTGCCAGCGCTTCTGGCTCAGACAGCTTTTCAGCAACATGCACATGAAAGTCAGACACTTACTTAGCCAATTATCTTCCTGCCATCCAGTGGGAAGTGTGGTGTTTTCAATAAAACTGGGAAAAGCCAAACTAAATCTGTCTGCTTAGTATCTAGTGCACTGAGCAACTTAAAATGAGGAGCACATCTGTTGTACAAGCCACATCTAATCCTGAAAGTTCTTTGCAGCTTTTCTTATTCCCTGGATCAAAGTGTTTAACAACACTAGCTGACCTAGAAGGAAAATGACATCTGTTACTATTTCACTGCCTGACCCCATCCCTCGAGTTTAAGAATTGTTGAAGGGTTTAATAAGGCTGTCTTAGTCAGGACTCATCTTCTGATCAGCTGTACAGCATTCACTGACAAACCACATAGTCTAAGCCCAATTTTCAGCTTGCAAGATAACATTCAGCGCTCTGAAAGCCTACCAGGATAACTCAATGTGCACATGGAGCACCAGACAGCGGATCAAACCTTGCATGTCCAGACGTGAATGGTGAGTATTGGCGCAAGTCGGCCAAACGCACCAGGCAACTTTAGGGACAGTCCAAATAGGAAGGGCAGACAACATTTTTCCTAATAAAGCCTGATAGGATGTCTGAAAAGGGCCATAGCCCTTTGTTAAGCTTCAGGAGCCAGGCAAGAAAGTTCCAGGAATGTGAGTCATCTCACAGGATGGGTCACGGTGGACACTCAGGATATGCACTTTTAAAGAGGTGAAGGTGCAGCAAGTGTTCAGACGAGCAGTGCAGAAGGGCCAAGTTATCTCCCAGGGGAATAAACACATTGTAATTGATTATGGAAGGCTTCCTACATCCTTCAGAATACAGACGAAGCATTGTGGTCTTCCAAGAGGCCTACGAACCCTCAGCCTCTGCTCAGAGGGCAAGGGAGACACAAAAGCAAGAGCAGGGAGAAAAAAAAAGGAGCTGGTTACACAGTAGCCAAGTTTCACCACCGCACCTCGAGGTACCAACAAGCAGACACAGATGTAAGTAAAAACACTAACTTTGGAGACATGGGATGTACATAAAACCCCACTTGTTGAACTTTCAGAGCCTCCAAAACATGTAAACACACCTCAGGTTTGTTTCTGTAAACATACCGCTACAAAAAGCACTTGCAATGTCAGCAGTATGAAAATAAAGTCCTTACAACTACATTGGTGTTCCCCTTTTGGCAATTACAGAGGCAGTGGAAGGGCAACAACGATTCTCATTGCATTCTGTTTACAACAACAAAACCCCTGCAGCTGCCCTGCTAAAAGGAATACTTTGTGGTTTTTTTCCCCGAGAACCTCTGCATTCAAATAATACTTTCTTAGCAGCAAAGTGGCAGTTGTTCCTTTAAAACAAATTTCATTAAGAGTCTAGAAGCAACCTATGTAATCTATTTTATTTAGAATCTTTAGATGATGCAAATGCTTTTTTCCAACCATGCATGCAATTTTTACAACTGCAGGTCACCTACTCTCCGTGGAACAGCTCAGAACTGAAGTCTTGTATAACTAAAAGTTTCAGGCTGTGATTATGATTTGTTATTGTTAATGTAGTGAGGGCATTAACAGTAACTTGACAAGTAGTTCTCCAAGCCAAGACGACTTCAGTACTGAAGGAAGACCTGTCACGGAAAACCTGAAGCCTTAAAAAAAAAGTGAGAACATGTAAAAAGCTCTACTATGGCGACGACTTGGGTTATCCAGAGCTTGGAAGTTATTCGCACAGATGTGGCCTCACCATGCTGTACAGATCACCGCAGCCAACCTCAATTTCCACTTCCTGTCATCTGATGTGAATGCGAGACAAACCAGCAGCTCCCCCATTTCCTTTTCCTCCACTCTTCCTCCTGGCACCCCGAGCGCTATTCAAACACAGGCAAGGCTTCCTCTGAACAATGCTGTCCCAAGGATACCGCAAAGGTACCGGGCCACATGCGAAACCTATTATTGCGAAGAATTTTGCCCCACTGGGAGTCAGTAGGAATCTGTAACAACAACTTATGCACACATTGTTTTCTAGGTGAGACTCATCAAGATGGGATCCTAGACAAGCAGCAGAACAGCCAAGGAAGTTGAACACACGCTATTTCATACCCGTGGAAAATGAATGGTCATTCAGAGGCTACTGGAAACTAGGTAGTATGTATGTGTAGCTGCAGAGCTGCAAATGTAACATTTTGGACTGGCAAAAGTTTAAAAATCTCAAAAGGCTTTACAAACAGGAATGGGCAGAGGAGGCAGTCCTACTCTGCTTGCCACATGGGAGACGTAACTAAAGGAAAGGTTTTTTCCCCAGACGGGAGCACTGAGAGGTGATGTGAACAAACGGTTGTGCCACAGCACATCTCCTGCTCCACTGTGCAGCTAGGGGACAAATGCAGCACCAGGCGATGCTCACGGTGATGGTGAGGGGACTCCACGGCTTCCTTTCCCAGTGATACCAAACCCAGAACTGACCACCTACTGCCCTCCTCGTGCTCTGCCACGGCAGGCCCTGCATCAGGGATCATTCAGCATCAGAAGTGCCTGGAGACAATGTCCTATGTCATGAACAGCTGCCTGGTCTTACAGTGGCAGCTCACCTCCTTCCAGCTGCTAAGAATACACTCAGCAGACTCCTAACACTATCTTCTTCCACGGGCAGAACAATCCTCTAAGGACACTCGATCAAAGAAGTCACCCAAACAAACATTACTGGTCAGGAGGAATGCCCACCAGAAGACTCACCATACCCCAGTAGGTAGGGTATGTCAGCATTCAAGATCCTTTGAGACTCCCATTTGAGTCACAGTTACTCAGTATGTGTAACAACTTCCTATAAGCCATCAACTTGCAGGCTGTAATTTGTGGGCAGCCCTACATTTATAAATTCCTATTACTGCAGCTTGTGCTCAAATGTGTACGTTACCTATTAACTCCCTAGTGCTTGATTGCAGCTATAGGTTGCTCTCTAAATGGAAGTCTTGGATTAATTCAAGACTTTCTGAACTCATTTCTGCTCAAGAAACTCACAACCAGTTATTAACTCTGCTAACGACTCAATCAACTTTACTCTGTCTTAAACAAATCTAACATAGAAATTGCAGGGGCAACCCTTTAAAAATCAGATAAAAGCAGCAAATGAAGAAACAGCTATTTAGTTTTCAGGTGTATGTTTTTAGTCATGTGATTAGTAACCCCCACAGGGATAATTCAGATGAGCAACTATGAGCAGAGAAGTAAGCCCTTAGGGTAAGGAAGTAAGGGTCAAGATGATTTATAGAAACTTACTGACCTGATCTTTCTCTCTACATTGACTATGTGTTAAAAGGAACTTCCTCTTTTTTTATTCACAAGGAAACAGAGATTACAATACAGCTTGCAGGAGAGAACAGCCATTTTTAAAGTAAAACCAAAAGCAAGACACAGAATTATAAAGCCTGAAATAAGCAACAAGCACTGTCACTCATCACTGAGCAAACTTTAAACATTTAGTAGCGTGGAAGCACTCTAGGTTTGATGATGCTGGAGAACGAAGCCTCTTGCCCCCAGCCATGATGCTGCTCTAGACACGGTCCCCAGCAGCGAGGGTGCCAGGGCAGCCGTGCCCCACACCTAGACTGCTGAATTCATGCAGCTGCAATAGGTTATTCGAAAAGGAACAGCCTGCCCATGTAAGAAGCCGACTGAAACCCACAAAACTCATTTCACCCAACCTATGAAACCAGTAAATTTTGCCATATAAAGCTATTACTTGTCTGGCCTAGATTCAGAGGAACAACCTAGACTGAAAGGGTCTTTAAAAACACCACTAACGATCACCCTGGGAAGTGAAGGATCTAATGCATTTACAAACACCCACTATTCTTCCCCTCACACTAACCCAGTTCCCTGAGTCTTTAAGGACCCAGCAAACAACATGCTCAAGAACTCCTATATCTAATTTTATGTGGTCAGTGAATGTGGACAAACCAGAGTAACATAGCTGTGGGATAAAAATGGTAATTAATGCAGAAACCACCCAAAGCTGAATGGCTGAAAAGCACAATGCATTAATGATTCCATTTAGAGGCTATTAGAAAACTGCTCTGCTAAGATGAACCACATTTAGAATAAAAACCTAGCACCTGCACACACACAAAAAGAAGCAGGAAGAAAAAGTATTCCATGACAGGCATATACAATAGTTAATCAAAAATGCTTGTTTCTTAGAAGTGTATAAACCCCAAATTGTTTTGGTTTTTTTTTTTTAATACGACCTACTGATTTCTCAGCACTGTCTAAATATTGGACAGCAAGTCATATTTCCTTGACAATTTAGCTGTTCAAATATTACGTTTGCTCAGAAGATAATTATCTGTAGTCTGGAGAAAACACGAAATGCATACACACACACATTTGATTTATGCACTTATCCACCATAAGGAGCCAGTCACACCGCGC